GGTTTATGCGTAGGCAAATGCTTCGACGCATCGAAATGGTGGGGAAAGCAGCACTGTGATCAAGTATGCCAGGGTCATTGTGATCATCAAGGCTGCCGACAAGAAGATGGTTTATGCGTAGGCAAATGCTTCGACTCATCGAAATGGTGGGGTCCTCAATGTGATTTACCCTGCTTGTTTTGCGACTACTGTGGATGTAACAAAGATACCGGAGCATGTATTTGTAAGGCTCGTGAATCTTTTATTGGCTGAATCTGTATTGACTTTATTTCCATTTTTACTTGAGAAAACTATTGTTTCATAAACTCTAGGTAGAAAACGACTGAACATATTAATCCTGAATTTTATTAAACATAATCAAGATTAATTTTACTTTGAAAATGCGATTTGTCCTCTCTTCTCGTACGGAGCAAGTCCAATGGCTAGTTTTATTCATATGAGCTTGGCTAGAAAACGCGTAATTTTTTTCGTAGTAATAAGCCTGCTTATTCGATGGTGCAAATGTGAGAATGAAAAATCGAATGAATAGGATTGAGCTAGATATCATTCAATATAGTCAAACATTATAGATCCTTCTTATAACGACTAAATGATGTTCGTTACTTTTAACGTCGCATAGAAAAATCAATCCTTATTTATTAAAAAAAATCTTAGTATTTGTCCATAGACCTTTTTTTTCCACTTAAGAAGGGTAGGTGTGGACTCATCATCATTCACCCACACCCTCAAGAAACGAACTGAAAAATTAACAATTGTTGTCTAATGAAGAGGAGAGCCAAAACTTCGAGATAATCCAAATTCATCAATTGTAGCAATAGAACATGACTAAAGTAAAAGACACGAAAGTTATAGAAGATTTTGAGAACGGTGGAAAGGAAAACTTGTCCTTTCCTTACCTTACATGTCCCTCCCCTATTTTGATCCTCTGAAGAAATTGAAGTGAGAGATCTTTAAAATCAAGAATATTCAATAAAAACAAACGGAAGAAAACGCGCGATAACCAATTTCTTCCGCTTTTTAGGCAGGTGTTAACCAAATTATCATTGCCCAAACAATCAAGGTTCGATTTCCAGGGTGTAGGTGTTATCTTCTTCACATAACACATTCAATCTCATTCTCACACTCACACTCTTTTATAGATATCAGAAACTAACTATAAGGTTATACACAATATTCTAATTCAATGAAATTGTTCAGATTAGTCGCAAATTGAAGATTATATGTTATCAGATAGAAAAAAGCATCCTTTTTTGTTTGCATTTCAAAGAATTGAGGGTGTGGATGTAAATGTAAAAGAAATAGAGACTCACCCACACCCATCCCCTCTAAATCTTCCTTTAGTCCTGGGGGAGAGCCACGGAAAGTTTGGAGACGCTAGCTCTTACGCGGGACATAATACTTAGCGAACAGATAAACAATCTTCTTTATATATATGTAGATAGACAAATAGATAGATTAGGCAACTACTTCAGAATTTGTCTTTTGCTTATAGATGGACTGTGTTTCTTATCTTGTTCTTTATTCCTGATATCATGTTGACTCTTTTCTCAAACAAGAGTTAATATACAGCGTGGGCTAAAAGTAACGTTACCGAGAAAATAAAGTTATATATACATGCTCTGGCTCGACCAAACGAATCCATTTTTTTACCAAAAATAGAGCCGTGTTCTCACTTGAAATCCATATGAGTAAGGTTACAGAAAATCTGTCTTATATATCAATATTCATCTCAGCAAGAAAACTTTACTTTTTCAGAAGTAGGAAGAAAACAATATACCAGATGATGTAAGAGTCACTTTACGGAAAACAAAATTGAATATCTTCAGTACACCTCAAATAAAAGAGCTGATTTCTTTATGGAGAATAGCGGCATGTTCACACTCCAACCATCTTAAGGGTGTGGGTGTGGTGTAGGTTTGTGTGTATGAAGGTGTTGGTGTTAGTCAGTCTCTACTTCTTTTACAATTTATACCCACACACACTCAGTCCTATACCCATTCTCATCCTACTTATAATAAAACTGTGTCTTGTGTATTACCTAGTTTATATCGCGAAGTAAGATGAGTAGAAAAAACAAAAGAAAAATTCATCTTTTACAACTTTCTTCAAAGATAAAAAATACTTATTTATCTTGTAAATAATGCATGTCGCAAATCTCACAGCATTTTCTTTTGTTTTTCATTCGCATATTGAAATTACGCAAGAAAACAAATTAAATAATAAGTTTTTTTTGTGAACGATCTTGAGGATGGATGTGAGTATAGTGTTGCACCCACCCATCCCAATGCATTTCTTCTTTTGCAATTATGCATTCAATAATTTAATATACACAAAAAGATTATTTATTGACAAAAACAAAATAAAGCATACTTAGAAGA